ATATATATATATTGACACATATATATAAGAAAGTCTACAAGCCTAGAACAGCTACTAAAAAAACCCCTCCAATCGGTCACATCTCTACATCGTCTACAAATATTATTGAGAAATCATTGAAATATTTTGTTTGTTTTGTTTAAAATTAGCGCCAATTTAATTGCTTTAGCGCCTATGTCTCGGTCTCCTTGCCGCCGAACAGCTCGGCGGGCGGGTAAATTGAATGGCTAATCGGATTCATTTCCAACGTCGAGGGGGCAGAGGGTGTACGGGAGGCACCCAGCAAGCCACATAGCTGATGCAGCATATCGCCGTACGACCGTGTGGTAAGATTCTGGCTAAGGAAATGCAAGATCAAGAAGTCGCCAATCTAAAAAACAACAGAAAGTTCAAGAAATAGAATTAGTTATTATACAAATCATGTAATATAGTCGATATAATCACCTCCAAACGTCGCACGAGTCCAGCGATTTCCTTGCGCTGACCTGACCGATAGGAGCGCTTGATGATTGTTTCGCGTGTGGTGGGCATCATGATGACCACCAGGGAATAGAGCACAGCCACGCCCGAAATGGTAGCCAATATAATGAACCAGAACCTATAGAGAAAATAGCATTTAACAAGCATGATCAATTAAGTCGAGTAGCTGATCTTACCATAGGAATATATAGATCTTCTCGTTGAGTATATTGAGGGCCAGCACGCAGAGCGTATCGTGTTTCTGTATGGAACCACTTGGGCCGAATTTACGGAACGTACATTTCGTTAATCTTGGAAAGATCTCAATCATCGGATCGTAGCGCATGTCCTGATCCATATTCGAGAACTTGAGGACATCAGTACCATAGGACATAAAAGCACCGCCCAGAAACTTATCCACCATGAAGATATTGACAATGACATTGATGAAGTTCAACAGTTCGCAGAAGAAATACGCAAAGGAGTAGCCGTTGTGCGAGTTGAGACTTTCCATAAAGTATTTAATGATGCGATCCTGTCGATCCTTGCGATAATCCTCCGGCACAGAGACCATGCCACGCAAACCATCCGTTATCATGCGAATCTTGCCATCCTCCATATTCTTCCAGATCCAGTGGGGCACATAGAACATGAGACCCTAAAGGGAATAGAGTTGTAGGATTAGCTTTTCAAAGTATTTCTTTTCATCTGAAAACTCACCTGGAAGAAGAGCACGAATGGCACCCACTGATAGTAGCTATGGTAACGTTTCTCCTGCCCATATTCGTTGCCCAATCCAGGCCCAGCCACATCGGTGCCAATTTGCCTGTGCTGTTGGCCAGGTATCGTGAAGGTGTATGTTATCCAGCAGAAGGTGTTGATCACATGCATCGGTATGGAGCCGTCATTAATGCAGCTAATCGGATCACCTGCCAGAGAGAGAGAGAGAGAGAGAGAGAGAGAGAGAAAATGATGAGTAAACATATGAGAGAGAGAGAGAGAGATTTATGTTATAGCTAGATCCACAATTGGTTTAAGAGAGAGAGAGAGAAACTAATTGCATAAATCAGTTGCAATTTGGAAATAGAACCCGTGACCTTTTATTTATTTCACTTTTTTATGTACATTCAAATCAAATCCATTTGCATTTCACAGCTAGTTGAGTGCAGCCAAATGCCGTTCATCAACGTCAAGTGGCATTAAGGCAATCTAAATCTCTAACCCTGGTCACAGAAATTCTGGATGGGTGTGCCAGAGCCACCCCCTCCCTCCCCACTCTTCCCCTCCCACTCTCTGAGTCCATCCAATTCTGTTGCGCACACAACTAGAAGAGCTGAACTGAGCTATGTATGTGCTTTGGGACTTGTTTGAAGTTTCCTAGAACTCAATTGTCAATATTTATATTGGCACCACACACGTACATACGTCTGTACGTATGTATGTATGTATGTGTGTATGTTTGGAGCGCTTCTCTTAATGCACAAACATTGGCTTTGGCAGCGAGTTTTGGCCATAAATCAATTTCACAGAAACGGGCTCAGACGTGTTGTGGCTTGCCACGAAAGACGAAAATAGAAAAAAAATATGACTTGTTGTCTGTCTTGCTTCATTTAGTAGCAGCCTGAGATGTGTGTAGGAGACCTGGCTGGCTACATGGATCTTCACACAGCCAAGACACGCACCACCCGCTGTGACTCACTCATTTGACTCATTTGCGTATTCATCTGAAATCTGATGAACGTGCCGCAGACCTTCCAGTTAGCGAACCATCCAATATTGAGCAAGCGTAAATAGGTTTCGAAATTCAATTAGCTCAAAAGGTTTTTCTACTCGATACACAGGCGAAATACCCTAGGGTACGTTGCTTATTGCAATTTTAGATACTTCATAGAAAAGCTGTTAGCTATGATATAATACTTTATGCTCTAAGTATACCTTTAGAGACAGTTCAAAACTTAAAATACTCCTTAGCTGTAAACCCTTCTCATATATCAGAGTCACTGTTTATATTTCATAATTTTAGAATCATTGAAAATTATTAATGATTCATACAGTTACTAGTTTATCTACAATCAAATTTACAGTTTGCAAGCCACCGTATTCACTTCTACAGTTTGACAAGCATTTAGAATCTATCAAAAACATTGTGCAAAAACAGTTTTCAGCTACAATTGCAATCTAAACAATGAGTAACATATTGTAGTTCATATACAATCATTTTGTTTTGTTTATCTTAACAGCTGTTTTGTAAAATGTTAATAGAGTATTGGGCAGTCGTGAATCACCGTTTACGTGCCTCTTGCTAACCATTTATGCTGCACTCAGCGCAATCGACAGTAATTGCATGCACAAATATATATGTATGTACTCGTATGTAGATATAGGGCCAAATGCATGGCTAACACATTTGCATAGACTGCACTAATTTTCACAGGTTTCGAATTCGAATTCGAATTCGAGTGCGAGCAGAAGAAGAATGAAATTACACTTACCAATCAAATTGTTGGCCGTAACAATAATGCAACAGGTGAAGAGTATGGCTGTGGTAATCCTATAATGGCAGCGAAAGACCATGTTATCGATGACCGCCTTGTCCAGCAGATAGCGTATCTTGATGAAGCTGGACACAGCCGAGACCATGCCAAAGACCGCCATGTTTCTAGCTTCGACTTCTGCTGCTGCTTCTCGCTGCTGTTGTTGCTGCTAATTGATGTTGTTGCTGTGTACTAAACTAAACTGTAAATGAGAGAGAGGAAACATTGTTGTTTGTAGTTATGCCTATTATGCAATTAGAAGCTTACGACAGGCTGCAATGTAGAAATTTATAGTCTGTGTATATGTGGGTGTGTGTGAGTGTGTGTCTAAGTTATCTGGCACAACACATAATGTGACATATTTGAAATGATGCGCAACTACAGCACACATTTCCGTTGCGCTGCCTTATCACTCTGCCCTCTACAAGCCGCACTTACAATTAAGTAAGTGCCTCTCCCTCAGAGATTGCTCTGTCCCTCTCTCTCTTACTCTTTCTCTTGCATAAATTTTTTTGTTTTCTATTTATTTATGTTGTAGCACAATCTAATCTAATCTTTGTCTTTTGTCCACACACACATAGATCGGTTGAATGGCCTCAGAGCGAGTCTTGGAGCCGAGAAGAACCGGTAAATTGGGCTCTGGCCAAAGCTTTTGTCAACCCACGCATAAATTTCACTTTGGGGCATGGCAGTTTATATGTACATATGTATGTATGTATGTATGTATGTATGTGCACACCACTTGAAAGTCAAAGCTTTTTTGTATAGTCCTCAGCTCAATATGAGTGTATGTATGTATATATACACATATAGCTAACGTCTCGAATTCGATCATATAAGATCGAGATCAGGTTCTGCTCTGTTTGTCTTTTGTTTTCTTTATTTCGTTCTTCGTTTCTTTCTTTTTTTCGAAAAGGCTCTCGAGATTTGTTGGCGCTTTTGTTTATATGCAAATTTGTCATGTTTGTTGCTGTCGTTGTTTTAATTTCGATTGTGCCTCTTTCATTTCGGCAGCGCATATCGCATAACTCTCTCAAATACACACGCACACGACACGCACACATAGAGTCATCTCTGTCGCACACACTGCAATTAAAGTCAAATTGTGTCTGCATCTGCGCGGCGGCAGCTACTCCTTTTCAAAATGCAGCCAGCTTCTGCCATCAGCACTGAGCATTGAAAGTTACACATAATGCTTCATGCCCTCTGCACACTAACACCAACACAATGAGATACACAGCGCATACGAATACACACTCACTCACTCACACACACACACATAGACAGAGAGAGCCAGGCACTTCATTTCAACTTCAATTCTTTTGCTGCTGCTGCTGCGGCTGCTTTTTTTTTTCAATAAATTTTTTGAAAAACTGGTTTTAAGGTATTTTCTTTTTTTTCGTGTGATCGGCGAGAGCGAGAGGCCCCCAAGTTCGGTTCGGGTCGGGTCGGTTAGTGTATGTTGCCACTGTTGCGCTTTGCTGCCGTTTTTCAGTTTTTTTTTTTTCCGATGTTTTTTTTCTTTTCTTTCTTTGCGCTACCAACATTAGCCGAGCCTGTCTGCAGCTTTTTGGCCGCTATTCTTTTAAGTGATTCTTTTGCTCCTGCCAATTTGGCATTTCGCATACAAAATTTATAGCCACTTTTGACACATTGAAAACTTGTTTTAAACGCGTTGCGGGCCATTAATTTTCTGGCCCGTTTTGTGGCTGGCCTTTACAAATTATTTTTTAATTTATTGTTGTCTCTAGTAATTATACTTTGTTGCAAATTTTGGTTCTGCTTCACAGCAACACACACATAAACGTAACAACCACCTCAGCTGTAGCTGCATTTGAAACTGCATCTGTACGTGTAGCTGCAATTGTGTGCGTGCGTATATGTGTATAGCTGAGTAGATTTTTTTGTTTGTAGCCAACAACTGCAGCTTGATGCTTGCTGTGATTACCGTTTTCTAAATTTGTGCAGCTGCGCTCAGCGGCGTTCCAAAACCTACTGAATTGAACGCAAAACGGTGCTAACTTAGCCCACCGCTACACAGAGCTGCGCTCTCAGAGAGCTCGCCAGTGCACTCGCTCTCGTTCTGGCATACAGTCGCGCGTACTTACTCTCTCACTCTCATTCTCTCCCTCCCTCACTCGCTCGCTCTCTGGCTGGCTTCGCGCTCTGGAACCAGTTGGACTGATCGCAATCAGCGACTGGTTCCGACTCACAGCTTGGAAATTACGCTCAGATTGCATTTGCACGGCCTGTTACCTGGGCGCTGTATCGGCCACCACCTACAGGTAGATCGCCGCTTGCAACGTTTATTTATTTAGCCCGGCATTAGAGCGGGCAAATGGCATTCAATGTTGATTTACTTGCTTAACCCCAGACCATGACAACATATGTATATATCTGGATCAGACTTATCTGTTTTTCCTTCTCCCCTCTTCTGCTTCTCTTTATTTTCGTTGCTGCCCCGCTCCACTTCGCCAACGACAGCCATTCGAAATTTATTGCTTCATGAGAAACCTGCTACGGCTGCGCCCACTCTTGGACCTGCGTACAACTCTATCGATTCTCGCTTCGATCTGTGCCTGAGTTTTGGCTCAGGTTTTGACTTAAGCGCATTGTTAGTTCAAATCAGAAGAACAATTCGTTAGGCTATTGAATACACTTTTCATAGGCCAAGTCTTAAACATGGACTAAGCAGTCTATTGTAATGGAGTAACAAATCAAATTCAATAGAAAATTGTAAATTGATTACAATTTTTGATAACTTAACTCATGGGTAAAGTAAGGATTTCCTATATACATATAACATTCATTATAATATGTTGGATTTATTATGTTGGGAAACGATATCAAATATATAATATACGTATATGATATTCGATAAGTTAGAATATCCCGGCCAAATAAGACATCCCAAAAAAAAAAAAATGAGAAAAAAATACTGTAATACTTTAGAGAGGTAGCATAATGATTTCTAATTACAATAGGTAATCTAATGAGATGAAAAGTCTTTGACGCATTCTATTCTATTTATTTCTACATACTATAGTTACATCTACATAGTAGAATAATAGCATATATTTATATACTAAGGAAAATATTTGCCTTATGCGTATCATCTTAATTGTTCTTTTCTTACAACCCCTATCGTTCCATTTTTATAAACACTTTTCAATGATTATCAATATAATCTATTTCAATAATTTAATATAATCAACAAATTGAATTCATTTATGATATGTACTGTAGATTCATTTAAAGGAAAACTTCTAATGCAAAAAAAGAAAAAATATACATGTATAATAAGATTATTATTATTACATAAAAAAAAATATGAGTATATGTAGATAATAAAAATCGACTTGAAAACAAAAAAATATCTTGATTAAAATATCCTATCAAAGTCTTAAGAGCTGATATAATAGACTTGCGTCTTCGCTGGGGACAGTTGAGAGAGCATTTAAGCCCTGTTGGCTAGACTAGACTATGCAAAATGCGCTCAAGTGGCTGAGCAAGTGCATCCATGAGAAGAGATCTTAGTCTCAGTCTATCTGTGTCTCTCTCGCTCTACCTCTCTCTATCTCTGTTCTGCATAGTTAAAGTGTGTCGCTGGATTTGCATGTGAAGCGAATGCGACAATGCAACTTGTTGCCAGGCGTAGCTTCAGCGACTGCTCCACCATTCGCTTAACCCTGCCACAACTTGTTGCCAAGATGACTCAGCTGAAATGAGTTGGTCTTAGCTGCTGCTGCCATAATGAAATGGCATTTCGTAATGGCTGCTGCTGCTGCTGCTTCTGCTTCTGCTGTTGCATGTCCTGTCCTGGTCGCCTTGTTGTTTGTTTATTGTCTGCGGCGTGTTTGCCTGGTTGCCTGGTTGCCGTGTGCCTCGGCTGCCACAAGTTGCCTGTGCGGGTTTTGAAATGTATCTCAGAGCAACACACACCTTTTATAAAGACATTAAATGCGAGATATATGGCATGTGTGATTGTGATAAAAATGTATCTGTTACGGCTGCGACCTGCAGATGCAGATACAATACCCATGTTGTTGTTGTTGTTGTTTTTGTTGCTGCTGCAGTTGTTGCCGTTGCTGCTTGTGGTTGACGCTGCTTATCGATGTGTAAATAATTAAATTTTCTGTATTTTATTTCTCACTCTTTCTGTGGCTGCTCAGCTTCGACGTGCTGTATCTGCTTTAGATTCTTCTTTTCATAGGCATAGATATTTAGTTTAACACTTTAAAATTCAAGTTGATGGAATAAAGAAGTTTATATGTTTCAAATTAATAAACATTATTTTTGTTGTGCACTTTTATCACCTGTGGCGCTGCTTTGCGGGACTTAATTAAAAACGATTTAAAGCGTTTATTACGCGCTGTGCTACCGTTTGTTGAGTCAGCATTTCGGGGCAGCAGTTGGGGGCAGTTTGTGGCAACTGCGCACGCGCGCACGCTTGTGTTCCTTTCATATATATATATGTTTATATGTATGTGTATATGAATTTCGTATCCATAAGATACATTTTGGGAGGCATGGCATTTCTTTTTTTTAGTCGTATCAACTGCATGCAGAGCTACACAGTTGTTCGTTGCCTGTTGCCCAGCTTAAAGCGTAACAGAGGTGGCTCAACACACACACACACACATACACACGCACACACTCAGAGAACGCCAGTTCCAGTTCCAAAATGGAAACCACATAAATTCTGTTCTCTCTCTTGCGATCTCGCGCTTTGAGGCTCTCTTAACACCCTCTCTCTCTCTCTCTCTGTCTCACTCTCTCAGCTACACGCTCTCTCCGTGCTAGCAACAACAAGAAAGTCGTTTAGGCCTCGTTAACAACCAAAAAATAAAGTAAAACGGCTTCTTGAGCTGCTCTGGCGAACGTGTTGGAAGACTCAGCCTAGACGCTAGCTTAGTGTCATCTCTCTCTTTCTCTCTCTCTCTCGCTCGCTGCGTAAGCCAGGTAGAAAAGTCAAGCGTAGCCGAGGTAGCAACATCGTCGGCAACATATTGCTGATGACGTTGGATGGGCTCTCGCTGCTGTTGTTGCTGCTGCTGCTGTTGCTGCTGTGGCAGCCAGGTTAAGTCGCGTATGCGCCACCGGAATGCCGTGAACCCATTACCTGTTGCCTGGCTGCCTGCTGTATCTGTGCATTGTTGGCTGCCAGCTACTACTTTGTAAGCCAAATTTATGCGTCATATTATGCGAGAGAACTTTAGAC